TCCCGCATACGTGGAAACAGCAACGATTGGTACTGTTACCTAAAGGAAAGAAACCACCGGATAAACCGTCATCCTACCGTCCACTTTGCATGCTAGATACAGCGGGTAAGATATTTGAACTCATAATTCACCAGAGAATTGAAGCAGTAGTCGACCCACTCCTGGCAGACAATCAGTATGGATTCCGGAAAGGACGATTAACCCTTGACGCAATCAAACTGGTTGCTGATACGGCCAAGGAAGCAATTGCAGGAACCAGATGGAAGGGTGGACCGAAAGAGTATTGCCTGGTAGCGGCCCTAGACATCAGAAACGCATTCAAGTCCGACAATCGGGAATGGATCATGCAGGCCCTCCAAGAGAAGAATGTACCAGAATACCTTCTTAAGATCGTAACAAGCTACTTTGATAATAGGGTCTTGAAGTATGACACGAAGAACGGTCCGAGGGAGTATGATATTACTGGAGGTGTACCACAAGGTTCAGTTCTAGGCCCGCTCCTGTGGAATATTATGTATGACGGTCTATTAAGACTAACTCTGCCAAGAAACGACAAACTCGTAGCATATGCAGATAACGTAGCCGTAGTGATTGTTGCCAAACACCTTGACGAGATAAACCATATGTTTGTTCTCACTTTTGAGCGCGTTAACCGGTGGATGGACGCAGTGAACCTGCACCTGCCGCAACACAAGACTGAGGCAGTGCTTATTACCAGCAGAAAAGTGGTAAAGACCATTAAGCTGAAAGTCAGCGAACAAGAAATCATATCATAACCTTATATCCGATATTTGGGAGTGATGCTTGATGCCCGACTCAACTTCAAGCAGCAAGTGGAGCATGTCAGTGCCAAAGCGTCAGTAGAGAAGGCTAGTCTCGCACGACTGATGCCGAACGTCGGAGGCCCAAATCAGAGCAGGAGGCTATTACTGTCATCAGTAGTCACATCGGTGCTCACTTACGGAATATCCATTTGGACCGACGCATTAAAGACGCAGGAATCATGGAGAAAGGCTGGACCAGTATATCGACTGAGGGCCTCTACGAGTAGCTAGCGCCATTCGCACAATATCATAGGAAGCAGTGTGTGTTATTTCCGGTACTCTGCCTCTCAGAGTCCTAGTTGAGGAAAGACGGAACCTATATCAACGAAAAAGGTCATCCACACTGAACCCTGAAGAACTTAGAAGCGAAGAACGGCAACACAGCATCGCAAGATGGCAGCAAGAGTGGAATGCTTCAGATAAGGGTCGGTGGACGTACCGTCTCATCCCTCGGGTTGATGTGTGGTTCAACCGGAGTCACGGTGAGATCAACCATTATTTAACGCAGATGTTATCAGGACACGGATGTTACCGGAAGTATCTTCACCGCTTTAAGCACGATGATATCTCAGATTGCCCGCCCTGTCCAGGGGTCAATGAAGATGCAGAGCACGTTTTCTTTGTATGTCCACGTTTCAACCAACAGCGCAATTAGTTAGAGAAGATTCTCAAGAAAAGAACCCAACCTGAGTCAATAGTAGAGGCAATGTTATCGTCAGAAGCTGCCTGGAACGCCACAAGCATTTTTGCTACAAAAGTGCTTACCGAGTTTCGATTCATTAAGAGCAAAAGAGCGAAAGATCGAATCTAGAAGGAAGAAATTACATCTTTGCCACCAGAAGGAAGAGCGGCAGCTGATTCCTCCCCCCGCAAAGAAATGCCTTACGGCGGTTCCATGGGGGATCAGAGGATAGAAGAGAAATGGGTTTGGGGTTTAGTGGGTAGGGGCATCAGCGTCGCGACATATCCAGGCCAACAGCTATGCCTAGAATCCGTAAAAAAGATTCCCCCCCCCCCCAAAAAAAAAAAAACAACACACACACACACACACATACATACAGTCATAGTGACAAAATCGCAGGGATAGTCAGGAAAGCTTCCTTTGACCTTAAAACGTCGAAATCGGATGAAAACTCGATTTTTTAAAACGGGCTGGAAACAATAATTTCGCGATATTTAAAAATCTTCGATTTTCTTACGAGGGATTTAAAAATATTATTCAATGATTATTTTGTCGCGTAAGCCAAAAACATCTTTTATATCACTCCGAATCAGAATGGTACTTTTTTTTAAAACTTTGGATCAAAAGCGTACGTTTTTTCAGCACTTTGAATCAGAAGGGTACTGTTTCTAAATTCAATTATCAATAACACTGAGAATTATAAAATTTTTTTTCATATAACTTAAATTACACGTTCATCACTACGAGCACAATAAGAAAATCAGCTTCTTAAGTTAGTCTTAGTTGTTACGTTAGTTAAAACGGAGGACTGATCAGTCATCTGTTACCACGTATGTGCGACAAGTACGTCTAAATGGCTGATGAGCAAGCCAATGTTTCAGCTCACAAATCACAGTTTAACGTTTACAGAATGACTTTTGGACTGGCAGCACCGTCTTTTGAGCATAAACAATAGCCACTAGCCATGCGGTGAGGAGAGAAGAATAATGACCGATTTTTTTTCATATTTTGATTATTTAAGGGATTTGGGGTAGTCAGAGACATGAAAAAATGAAAATTTTCAATAATGTAAGCGACGCTATTCTTATTGCCGAGACTGAAGGCTGTCGAGTATCGTGAGGCCGAGATCTGTGACGTAGGGTCTTACTCCCAGCCCGTGACAAGACTCGCCTCCACTCAACGAGGGTTAAGAGTACTACGAGAGAGATTGTTGGGGGCATTTCGACGCCACCCTTCATGAGGACCTCACGCGATGGGTCCTAGTACAACTTCACCCAGTCAGTGTCATTCCTTAATTATATTGGCTTTCATTAGCTGTCTTATTCCGTAGTTATTGTCGAGTAATTACTTGTAGATGTATAAATATATATGAGTGGTATACGAAATATAAACCTCGAGTCTTACAGATCAGAAGTGGGATTGGAAATCCGTGTTCCGTGGAAAGTGTGGTGTATTAGTGTTATAATGAGTTATTATATATAAATTATAATTGAGAAGTTATTGTTAGTGCAAATATTGTGGTTTCGCATTAGTTTCAAGATCATTACGTTGAGTGCTGGGTCAACTCTACTCAATCCTCAAATTTGGCTACTTCGTAGTTTGATCACCTAAGGTCATGTTACTACATCTTCGAAAATTGCAACTTTCCTGAAAATTGAAGTAGTTAAGAACATCCATAGCTGCGGTCGAGATAGGCTTCGTAGAGGCGTCGTACTTGCAGAAGGAACCAGGACTGAAGCATTTGGAGAAGGTAGAATGATGATGAAGCAGAACAACTCAATGGTGAGCTGTTTTGCAACTGAGACTGCATTCTCCGCGAGTTCACCAGCAATCGGGTGCAGAGAATAGATGATGAGTTTAACGCAAAAGAAGTTACTGGATTCAACGTCAGAGCGATATCAACAACGCATGATTACGATAAAATGGTTCACTAGCAAATGAGGAATCAGGGCCTTAAGGGGGTATTCTGGTCTAGAATCCTAAATTTTAGGCATTTTTCAAACTAACATAAAAAAAAATGAAAAACATTTTTACTATCCGTTTTTTTATATGATGTTTATTGACATTTCAAGAATATAAAAAAAAATTTGAAAAAAAAATGATAAATTTGACAAATTACAGGCCGGTGAAGTGGGGGCTACAAAAAAAACGGTGCACTCTGGTTGACATTATTCCAGCCCTTGTAGTGATGTGAAACAAAAAAAATTGACAAGTTCTCAATCTGTAAATATGTCACTATCGCGTTGTTTTCAAGTCCTGTAAAACTAAGTAATCAATTGACTTGTTTTTTATTTTTCGAGTCATCCAATTCTTAAAGTAGCAAGAAAACTATTCATAAAAGCAAAATTCAATTAAAAATATAAAAATAAAACAATTCCCTGCGAAGGGGTTTTGTTTCAGCAGTCTACTGAAAGTTTCAGCGTTCATCTGGAAGAAAAAAATCTAGTCTGAAATAATTCAAAAACATTTTATCTTTTAAACTTTTTATCAATAATTAATAACGTTTTAGATGAAAAATCAAATTAAGTAATAATTTTTTTAATCAAGGAAATATCAAAACGACCGCGGTAACATTGCTACTTACCTCCTTCACTTAAATCGAATATTCTACCGTCGATAAACATGTGATTAAGTTTATAGGAAAAAAAAAATATTTATCAAGGTATATCATTATAAATCTGTAACTGTAAGCCATAATAAAATTAAAAGAACAAAAAGTTGTACCTGAATCACCAAATCACTAAACTTACCTGCAAGAATTTATTCAAAAAACAGCCAACTGCTGTTGATTATATTTTATTATTAGAATATTGGTTAGGATTTCATTTGGTACGGTACATAGAAGTTCTACAAGTCGATTTGGATAATTTCGGGAGATTTTATTTTTATTCAATCGTTGTTTTGATATTTATATAATATTTGAATGTTGAATATTAAGAAAACTATACTAAATAAATATAATTATTGAAATACGTAATAAAAAAACTATTAGCCAAAAATTATGAAATAAATAGGTAAAACGAATACTTTATTTCGTCGCTTATATTGCGATTCGATTTTTTCTCCGTTTCTAACAGTCATTATTATTATTATTACTACAAAAAAAATTAAAAATTTTGTGGTATATTATCGATCATTGATTTAATCAGGAATTTATTATGTTAATCATAAGTACTTTTTAGTAACGTAAGTTTTGGATTCAACTATGTAGGTTATAGTATCGTGGATAAAGTCCGTCAACGTCAGCAGTGCGCTCGAATTAAAAAAGTAAATAATCTGTTAACATCCTCCGAATACCAAATTCTAAATTAATTAAAATGCATCATATAATCAAGTCTTCCATTTCAATGATGAACTAACTTTTATTTCTCTTAACTAAAAAGAAGTAGATCGAGTTTAATTTAACAATTATGTTTTAGTAATGTGAACATGTAAGTTAACATTAATTCATTAATAGTATATTTAATACCTAGGCCAGTAAAATAAGAAAAGTCTCAAATAACATCGCTCGCCGAGGCGAAGCTGATAAATGATAAATATATATAATCAATTTTATCATAGATGAGCACAAGCAGTTTTCATGATTAATTTTTTCTGTGCTTCTCATTACTCTATTGAATGTTTTCAATTTAATTAGCTAAATTTGGGATTACATCGAACTTTTTCATACGGGACATTTCTCTGAAACAATTTTCTCATTATGCTTCTGCATTTTTGGGTTTTGTTAATAACGTCCGTTAGCTCGGAATCAATTTCATCACATTCCATTGGATACAAATCACGCACCGTCATTTTCTTCTTAGCTTGATGAGTAGTTTGCTGATCACTAGTCCCTGCTTGATGTAACCGTGAAGTAGATGGTATAGGAGAAACAGGCCGTAAGTTGATTAAAGGTGGTGTAGGTTCAGCAGACGGCGGTAGTGTAGGAGTATTAGCTGTCTCGAGCATAATTTCAGCAGAAGGCTCAATAGGCTGGACTTCAGTTTTAATCGCGGATGAAAATTGTGTACATTTATGGCTGTCATTTGAAAAATTAGATTGTTCTATCGTTTTAACCGGTCGAATCTTTGATGAAGCAGCGATCAGATTAGAAGCAGAAATTGAATGAGTATCTGCTTTAGTTTTACCGCTATGTGGAGTTACAATTTTCGTTTTTTCAGTTCCCAGTTTAGACGAGGCATTTGTTGCCATAGAACGACATTCAGCTTTTTGATCACCTGATGAGGAAGGTGGCTGGGCCATTTCTGCTGGAACATTCTGCCATGTGTTCATTGGCAGTGTAGGAGTTGCTATAGCCTTGGAACCACTATCAGCAGGTAGCTTTGGTACCGTATGTCGTATGCTGTCTGTTGATGTAATGGCTTTTACTTCATTTAATTCACAGCCTACAAAAAAATAAAAAAATATTACAGAATAAATTTCAGTTAAAGAGGATTCAGAGGATAGTTTTTTCAAACAATTTCTATGATATAGAAATGTGAAACTGATTTACACAGATAATCTGCTGAAAAATTAAAAAAGCATGAATGAGAACTTAGTCAACGAGTTCGTAAAATGTAAAGATAAGCTGGTGTTTGAAAAAACTAGTCGACGTGAAGTATAAAAAATTGTTCATACCGGATGTCTCTTGTTCACAAAACTCGTCGCTCAGAGAATTCAGCATGTCATTCCATTGGACCAATTTAGCCAGTATCTTATGTGACGCCAAGAACCGTTTTAATTTCAAATTGTTTGCACTGTTTTTCTGTAAAATGGCAGAATTAGAAAATTTAACCACCAATTTATTAATACAATAGTAATTTATTTTTTAGGTTAGTACTCACTACAAATCTAGGATGAGGTTTCGTATTTCCGTATGTTTTCAATTTTTCGGATAAAATGTATTTATTTTCGTTTAAAGAACAGTTACGCCACAAATAGGTCATTTTTCAACTATTAATATTTATTAACGTTTTTATGAAAAATATTAATTCCAATATTGAGACAGTAAATGTTGCTGCACAGAATATAGACGAATCTAGGCTAGTGACTCAACCAAAGACAATACTAAACTGCCTGTCAGCTATAGTTGCGGACACCTTCTATATGACACGGCGATGCTAGCGCTTACTAAAGTAGCGGCTTCCTTAAGAATTTCATTGCTGAATTTATATATGTATATATAAATTTTACGTATATTTTACGCATATATATATATAATAAACTGCAGGTTTCTAATATTAAATTAAAAAATAATCTATTTCAATTTGTAGAAAAAAAATATTTTCTTGAATTATTTTAGAAGACTGGACTTTTTTTTTTTTAAACGCACAGCAGACTGCTAAGACAGAACTATGCGAGGATTTCTAGTGTGCCAAAATGTATCTTCCTTGATGGACCTTTTAAAATTGGAAATTTGAGTTTCACTTTTAACAGGAGTTGTGTTTGAGCATTTCCTGTCATATTTTGAGCGTAAAGGATTTATTTTATTTTTATAGAATTTTTTAACAGGAGTTTTGTTCGGCTAAATTTTGAAATTTTTAAATTCCAGCAAAAATGGCGGAACGAAACTCTGGATAAAAAATACTATAAAAATCAAATAAATCCTATATATATACATACATATATATTATATATACATATATATTAAAAAAATTAACTCCTCGAAGTGAATATCACCCCCCCTAGGAGTGAATCAATTAAAAATCATTTACTCCCAAATCACTCCGCAAATTTTGTACAGTGTAAATAATTAAACTCCCGATTTTTGGAAATCTGAGATTCTTAGCCGGAAGTTAAAAATTGTTAGCAATTGCCTTACTTTACAAACTCAATAACCAGTTATAAACGCTCAGCTACTCAGCCGACTGCGGTCACAATTATTTTTTCAATTGACTCATAAGATTTGATTATTTGTGTTCAGCAGAACGCTTAGTAATGAGTGACATCCAATATTTGTCGTTTTCAATGAAATTCTACTCCAGTAATGATAATTCATCTTGAAGTAAGAAAAATGTAAATATGAAAAAGAATCAATGTAAGCGCGGTCCTTAAAATATATACTTTTTAAAATAATTATCATTTAATACGATTTCTCTACTGAAACATAATTAATTTATAATAAGAAATTCTCAAAATAATATTCTATTCAATAATCTCAGAAGAATAGTATTCTCCGTTGCCAGTAACAATTTACTATTTATTATTTCATTTATTCTGAAAGTGATCATTGAAAGTGATCTATTTCTATTTATTCTGAAAGTGATTTATTTTCAGAAAGTTCGAACATTCAAACTTTTTACGGAATAAATAAAAGAATATTCGATAATTAGATTGTCAAAAGCGATTGCCAATGAATTTTAGCTTGATTTAAATTTTATTCCATTTCCCGCATTCTGCGGAACTCAGTATTATCTGTTGTCAGATCGTGGCGCCACGGAAGACTTCAGTTTTACCACTGTGGATAATAGAGTCCTCTACTCTATTCTCTATGCTTACCACGACCTCTTTTATTACCGACATATGATAATGTACATTATATCTATAATAGTTCTCAGTGTCACCATTTCTCTTGACAACGCTCATGCACAAACTGCTGACGTATAGTGCTTCAACGGTTAGTAATCTAGTATAGCTTGATTGTTCTTAACCTTTAGTGTATTGTAAACAGGCGATTCGTAAAATCATATATATTACTCTTATATAACACTTGTTTTTTATAAATAAAATTTTATTGCTCTATATAATATATATAGAGCAATAAAATATAATTTCCTTCATTTGCGGTCGATTATTTTCGTCGAATTGTGTATTGTTTACGAACATGAGTCGTAAGCGGAATGCTTTTCACCTTGACAGGAGAGATCATCCCCTGAAAATATTCAAATTTTCATCATCCGCTAATGAAGCTCAGGTAAAATTTCGAACCGTTCAATTTATTTAACCTTAACGTGTTATAAATCGTTCCAGGAATATTCAATTATTAACTATTATAATCAACGAATATCAACCATTATGCTTTCAGGACCTCAATCCTTCTATGGAGACAGCTATGGCTTACAACGTGCCGTCCGAAATGGTGCCAAACCTGATACTTATGCATAAAAGAATTCTGGCGCTTGTCCGGAAATCGGCTCAATCTCGGAAATATGGTTCGTATAATTTGTACGCTGCTGATTTGTTATTGCAAATTCTAACCTCTGAACAAATCTTAAACGACGCAACTTACTTGTTACTATTAATAATGATTCTTTTCTTCACAATTATTATAGAAACTAACATCGGTTCCGTATCTCCGTCTGAATTATCCAGCTCAACATCTTATTCGCAACGTGATCATCAAGTAAATCGGAATTTTAGTGAAAAGCGTGATCTGCTTGCAATCGTCGATGCTCAGCAACCTGCTGACAATCCAAAGGAGTGTGACAAGGAGTGTGAGAATGGGCCTAACGTTTCTCCGAAATCTGCTGATACTGACGTAGCGTCCACCATGTCCACACCAGTTCAGGATAAGAGTTCAGAAGGAGAGAAGGAGAACGTTCATTCGAAACCTGCTAATAAGGAAAAGATAACCAGCGCACCTTCACCTCAAACCGTGCCCCTAAAGTGTATAGAAATCGAGGCTGCACTCCCAATTGTCAGTACGACATGTAAAACACATGTCAAACGAGCTATGCCAACGCAGTTTGTTGAAGACATCGGTCCAGTTCTGCGGATCTTGACTGCCGAGATTCAAAAGTGCAACGATATTCTACGTCTTATATATCCGCACATTGACGTATAAATCAGCCTCTTGCTGAATCTATTCTAATGAATTCTTTTGTTCAGCTGACTGCTGAAATTTACCGCTTTACTGTTGATTTTTTTAATACTTTAATGTTTTGAAAATACATAATCATGATTAAATATTCTACCAATATCTTTTCCCGTTATTTACTCCATACATATTTATTCCTTACATTTTTTATAATCTGTCATTGGCCGTCACGCCTCTGTTCATCACGAAAATTTGAAAAAAACAAAATTTATAATTTATAAAGTTATAGCTGTTTCTGTTGACTCAGTCCCAAAAAAAAGTCCTTGCAGTGACAATTATAAGTCCTTGGAGATTCATCTGAAATCAATCGAATACGAAAAATTACTTTTATAAATAGATCATCCTGGGGTATCCTTATTGAACACATCTCGACCAATCAGAACTTCACTGGCCGTTGAAGCGCCATCTGCTGTACGCGTGATGATCTGTCCATTGAGATTATACACACATACGGTGTATAGTCTCCATAGTTTTGTCTGTTAGATGCTGTTTCATTCATGCTCGAATGAGAGGAGTTAACGTGTCAAACTGTTTTGCAATTTTTTTTTATTAACTCTGTGAATTTGGTATTTTCACGCATTATGATGGCCAAGGTTAAAAATTTAAGAAATTGCTTTATTCAATTTATTTCAGTAGCTTTTTTTTTTTTTTTTTTTCATAAAAATTATAATTAATTATTTATAAAGTAAATTACGTTCAAATACATAATTTTTAAATATTTATCGAAGAGTCCCGTGTAAAAAAAAAATGTCACAAAAGTGTCCCAAAAATGTTCCAAGCTTGGAGTTCCAAAGTTGACACAATTTGGAACATTTTTGAAATAATTTTGTGACACAGGAAAAAAAAATTTGAAAATTTACAGTATAAAAAAATATACACTCAACTTTTACTATAAGTAGGCCATTAACTTTTTGCGTGCTTGTTTCAGTTTCGTGGACGGTTAGAATCAATAAACCAGTACAACGATTTCTTATCTGCTTATCTTCGATATATTGATCGCCAAAGTATCAAGAAACCTCAAGACGTATCTCTCATTAAGGCTTTTTTAGAAGAGTATGTTGACAACAAAAAACGGCGCACTACCTTGTTCACAACTTTGCATTTCTGTCTCAATTATGCAATTATAGACCTTGATGATGATCTTAAACAGAAAAGGACACATCCGAAGCGTTTAGTTCCTTCTCAGTGGATTAATTTTTTAAATACTGCGGCTTCAAAGTTTCGGCATAGTTTCCGTAATCTTCAGGGCGATGACCGTGAATGTTTTCTTAATACTAATTCTCGCAGAATTGGAAAACATCTTCTTGTATATGTTTTCAAATCAGTCTACCCCAGATATCCTATGATTGACCCTATTTACAACAGGATTCGCTGCATTGGTTTTCATGAGTTCTTGAGAGCCCACTACCCCACGCTGATGCACGTAATGCTGCCGCGGATCGTCTCCTGGGGCGAAGACGAGACTATAAAATGCCTCAATAAACATGGAATCAAGCTGAAGCCAAATCATCGCAAAATTGTTAATGAGATACTTAAGAGAAAAGCTAGCGTTAAGCGGCTTCTTAAAAAGACACCCAAGAATCCGCTACCATATGTTGAAAAGAGCTTATCATTACATGGGAGTACTAAAAGCAAGCCGAGCAGTCGTCATAGAAGATCCTCTTCCCACTCACTGTTGAGTTCTGAATCATCACGGGAACCGAGTCCTAGCTCTTCTTCATCGAAATCATCAAAATCAGCAGCGTCTGACAGCTTATCAGCAGAAGTTACTCCGAGGAAACGTGATCAAGAACCGAGAAAATCAAACCGGCCTCGTTCAGTATCTCCTCAGCTTCGGGAACACAATCAAACACAAAATATTACGATAGAATTGATATTTCGTTAAACAACAACGAATGTATAATTAAACCAACATCTGCAAAACAACTGAACTAAAATATTTCTCACGCTTTCTATTTTATGATTTACATTCGTAAACGAAATTCTGAAAACGATGATAACTTGGTGCCGATAGAGAACTGTCTTCCTCGTGCGTCAAGAAATGCTGCAGAACAGAAGATTTGAAAAAAAAAAAAGTTTTTTTATGGTGTACTGTCAAATAATTTTTGTTTGCTTATAATAATGCCTGCA